CATCACAGTCTCTGGGCATCCCACATGGCTCATGTTGGGAAGGTCAAAAATGTCTATATGTAGGCTCCCTCACCCAGGCTTCAGCAGGCTATGTTTTTAGTAGATAGCCAAGGTCATGAACACCCTGATTCATTTGCTTGTGAGTCTGTGCCCACTCATGGAACCTGTTGACAATGTGCCATATTTGGCCTGCATATAAATAAAAAGGCCTATGGAAATGGCTCAAGGGGCTAAATGGAATTGGCAGGGGCTAAATGAAACTGGTTGGGGGAAAATAGAACTGGCTGGGGTCTAAATGAAACAGGAGTTGGAGGCTAGGGGGCTGCTGCCACCCCTGAATAAAGTATGTCTACAGTCCTAAGCGTGTCTTGCATCTTCTTTCACCTGCCAGGATGTTGAATCTGTTTCCAGGGTCTGTGACAGTTCTGTGACCATGTTGGCCAGCTGAAGCATGCCTAATCCTCAGTGCTGTCTTGTGGTGTTTTTGGTCTGCTGGGTGGAAGTTGAATCTCCCGTAGAAACCAGGTTATGAAGAAATCTTGAAAACGTGGTCTCAGGGTATTTGTGTCTCTGGCCAGCAGTGAGTCCTGCTACCAGTGGGATACAGGGGAGGAAGCCAGTCTTCAATTTCTGAATTCAAGTCTTCTTGGAGAAAGAGCTGCTTTATCTGGAGGATAAAGCAGGATGAGCTTTATCATAAGGATAAGGATGAGCGAGGATTCACAGGATAAAGCAGGTGAGGCAAAGAGGGCATTTTGAGCAGTGGTACATATGCTTATCATACACTGCATGGCACAGAGCTGAAGAAATGTGTGTCCAGATCAAGTGAAAAAAAAGTACTTTGAAAAAACAGTAGCACAAGATGTAAACCCAGGAGAAATGAAGAGGGGGGAAGATTTTGAAGGACCTGGGACTTTGGATTAACGTAGAGTAGTAGGCAGGCATAGAAAAGTTTTAAGGGGTGTAGGTGTACATACATGTAAATGTTCATTTTCCTTGGCTGTTATTACCATGACGTCCTGATAAATGTTTAACACTCACTCTCCAAAGGAAAAGAAGGCTCCCTGATTTGCAGCAAATACCAATTCCTATATGATAAATACCCCCAATATAATCCATTTCAAGCTACTAACATGATATATTTGAATGTGGAGTTGGGAAGAAATGCATACAATTGGGCCTTCTATATATTCAAAACAACCCCATAAGATGTGTAGCAGTTCCTTTTCAAAATGATGCTAGACAGATAAGTGCTTTATCAAGGTTTCCTAAGATGGCCCCCAGCTCTCAGCAGTCTTGGGGGATTCCCTCTGCTGAAGACAACTTCCTGACCTGAGGCTTTCCTCTTTTCAGGGTTAGCCCACAACTACTGGTCAACCCAGTGGCATTAAGGTCCAGTTCCCTCATCCCAACTTGGGACAACTCTGAAGGATCATTGTTCTCCAGAGTTCCCTGGGGGGTTGGCAAAGGCCCATTTTGGGAGTGCATTGCTGCTTGGTTTCTCTTTCTATCCAATCCGGCCTCYGTCCTTGTTTTAGGCATTGAATCCAAGTGTACTGTCTGATGAAAATTCTTGAGAATCTCCGTGCCCATACCTGCTTCTTGGGGAGCTCTGTTTGTGACAGTTGTTCTTTCGTCTTGACCTTTGCCTGGCTGCTATTTTTCAACATTGCTATGGGGACTACTGAATGTGAGCAAGAGTGAGCAGGCCCAGGCCCACCTATTCATTAGACTCCCCAAACCATCCAGTGGTGGGTGAAAACCAAGACTCCGATGTTTTACTGACTGAATAAAGCTTTATTTTTAATGCAAAATAAAACAAGAAAAATTTATATACTCATATATAATAACATCCAAAATGTTTTTTTTCCCCCCCGTGGTACAAATGAGATAATCTTAAAAAGTTTGTCAAGAATTCAGTCTTCACCCCATATGCCAAAATATGATTTCACATAATTTAAATGTATGAACAGACTTGGTAATCATAAAAGCACAGGAAACACTAGAAAAAGTGATGGTATAAACAACAGGTTTTGTTTTATGTCCTGGCAGTAAACAGCGCCGTGGATGAACAGAACATTTTCTGAAGAACCGAGTTAGGAGACAGGCTAGAAGAGTCTTTGAGGGTTGGTTCACTTCCTATTCTGAGCTCAGCAGCCAAAGCCCACCTTTGAAAGTCAGATTGTGTGTAATTCTGTCACTATTTAAGGACATGAAGGAGAAAGAACTTCACTTAGAAGTCGTGGCTGCATGTGAGATTCTAGGCTTATTTTAGATATCTAACTTTTTTCTCCTTTTATTATCAGAAAGGTGACTTTGTAGGAAGATCTTATGGAGACTCCCCTCTCTGCTCTCATTGTGGCATAGTTTCCTCTTAAGTCAGTATGAACTGAGAGTGCAGAGAAATCCTCTCGTGGCTATTTCTGAATCCAGCTTTCTCCTGCCTAATTGCATGAAGTCCGGACTTTGTGTTGCTCATGGACTCGGGGAGCAGTCGGGTGTCTACCCAATTTAACACCAATTTGAAGGGMATTCATCGTGGGTCTCAGAATTTAATGCCAAGAGGAACTTTACAGACTTGAATTCCTTTAAATACCAAACTTTCCAGATCTCTTTACTCCCCTGAAACTCTATGATGTTCCTCCAAAGAAAATAAATGCTGYGGTTACAGGTTAGGAAAAATAAGCACCCTTTCTAGGCATGATCTCTGTGCATATCAGGGRACAGAGAAAGAACTTCCCTGTCCTTCTGAATTATCAGAAGGTAGGTTAGATTAAAGATTTGCATGATTCTGTAGAAGAGGTAATGGGTCATGTTTTAATTTTATTTATTTGGTAGCAAAAGTAAAGTTGGAGTGAAGTTTCAAATCTCCTCTATCAGGGAGTGTGCATGGGGCTTCTTCATGGTGACAGCAGATCTCTGGATCTCTACCATGCCATCAACACATATGTACCCAAGGATAATGAGCCTCAGAATAACATTTTCCAATTCTTGTTTGGTACTAAATCATGATTTAAGAAAACGTTTGTTTCTGAGCTTTCCTCTCATCCACTAATTTGATATTGTAAGGAAACAATTTAAACCAAGAGGGATAGTGCCACAGCCTACTTGCATGATGGATTAACAAAATATTGTGTTTTTCTTGTGGAGGACCAAATTCTCCTACATTTAAAGGTTTTCAATGGTCTACTTTTTTTTTGTCTTTCTAGTCTGGCAAAAAAAAAAAAAGGAGAAAAATATGGCTCCTTAAAATATCTCATGACAAAAAGCCAAAYATCATTTTGAGTCCTCAATGACCAGATCCACACCATGTGGGTGTATGCAGACAGGTGTGTTGGTCGGAATGCCACTCTATCCCATGGGGGCTATTAGAGTTCTATGCCACAAGGGGACACCTGATAGAATATTCCCAAGGCCATAAATACACTGGGAACTATTTGTGGTTCCTGGGCACCTACTGATTATAGCCGGGGCRTCTAGGCACTCTAAACAGTGTTCTCCTGAACGCTGGGAAGAGTTCTGTAACCTCTGGGAGGTGGCGACTGGAGGGGCAGTAGATAGGCATGTATGAAGCTTACATTTGAGTGGTTCTTAATTGTTGCTTGGCTTGATGGAGCCTCTGTCACAAATACAATGTTAGTTTCTTTAGGGCAGGATCAAATGGAGCGTGTGTTATACATCAAGCAAGAAAAGATAACTGTTATAATCTATTTTTTTTTTGTTATTGTTCACTTCCATAGTACCTTCACATCACTGACTGCCCCTCAGGATTAGCAGTTATTTTATTGACTGTGTACAAGACGAAGCCATGCTTTGAAGCTCCTGCTCCCGAACCTGTGTGCAGGAGGAATTATGTGCCCAAGGTGGCACCACTGGGGTAAAAACATGGCATTCTGACTGCAGGGGCCACTTCTCCAAGACACAGAGTGTTCACCTTGCACCCCCTGGCTGTACTGCAGGTGACATCAAGAGAAGCCTTCTGGAGTGGCTATGTCCAGTAGTCTACAGATATTTGATTAAAATGTGGAATATCCCAAAGAGTTGACTTTTAATGCTTCAAAACAAGTGACATTTCCCTCTTCTTATTGTTCTTGKATTTAAAGTTGACTTAGCTTAAAGGTAGCATTCAGCACCCTGCACTCACCTGCACCACATCTTCAGGTGAGCAGGGCCAGGGARTCTCAACCTTCTTGAACAAATTGCAGACAATTTAAGGGGACCTGCCTTGAGACAGATGACAGAGGACAAAAAAAAAAAAACCAACTGGACTGTCCGTTCTTCAGAGGCCACCGTAATTGTGGTTTGGAAAATGCTAGCTCTCAAAGTCCAGTAACTAACACTCCTTAGGTCTCAAACCAGAAGTTGTTTCATTCTTGGTAACAAAATTCTATTTTAAATTAAAAAAAAAGACTAAACTGGGACAGATGGATACTCTATGTATTCAATAATACTATAATTTATTAGATCCTGTCAGTTGGAGGTATTCTACTCTCAGCCAAAATATGTCTAAATTGAAAGACTTTTTTGGGGGGGGAGGGAATGAAGAAAGAATTAAAAAGTCTTAAAAGTAWTTTAACCTCACTGTGCCATTCAACKGCTGCTTCCCAGTTTTGCTGTTTCTCAATCTTTTTGCTTGGGTTCTCCTTTGGGTCATCTTGTAAGTTTTAGATGCTCTGATTTTATAGAAACCAGAAATAGAAAATAGCTACAAAGCTCAAAAGAGACTGGGATGGGTTTGGTCTCCTTGAGGATCTTAGAGGGCAGGTTTTCAGCTTTTCAAAGTCATAAGACCTTCATGTCTCAGTGGAGACCTTGTCCATGCCCTGACTTTTGTTAATGAAATAAAGAAGATGCAGATTGATTTAATCACACGACTCTTCTCTTCCCCTCTGCTTCATTCACCAAACTTTTCAGAAAGCATTTTTGTCTTCCATATCGGTAATCTCCATATTGGTAATCCCACATGTTTGAAAACACACACACACACACACACACACACACACACACACAAACACACACAATCATTCATGTCCATCTACTACCTGCTGGTGGCCCATTTCCAAAGGCTACAGTCAGCTCCTCCCTGTCCTTGAGAGCAGATGGGTACTGTTTGGCACTGAGTCTAGAATTGGCATCCCTAGGGCATTGTTTCCCATGCAACCCAACCAGCGGGCTTTCACCCTCAAGTGAGAGCTTTAAAGTAGAGGCTCCAGTTTAAAAAAAAAAAAAATTAAAGCCAGGAGATTTGGGGATGATTCTGAAACCAGCTATCTCCGAGCTTTGGTGCCTGGGATGTGGGAGGCAGGAAGGTGAGGACCCTGGGAGTGTCAGTGCTCATCACCTGACCACTGGTCCTTGGAATATATTCCTTCCAGGAGCTCCGACTAGCCTTGCACATYTTCCCAGGACACTAATACTGTATTCACATTTACCGACTTTGATATCAACAGCAAGGAAGCATGTGAGATGTTTACATTAAGGGAGTGAGATCAGGAACCTGAGAAAGGTTATTAAGAAATGTAGTCTTCCTCTGGGTAGAAAAAAAATTTCAAGAAGGTCACTGGGCATGTGTGCTGATGCTTCTTTCTTGATGAAAAAAACTACTTAGTAAACTAATCCCCACCTCTGCAGCCTCAACTCTGCCCCTCTTCAGGCAGCAGGGKTCCAATAAAGGGGTCGGAGGCCCAGCCTCTGAATGGGTAGTGCTGCTGGCAGAGACGACCTCTGTATTGCCAGTTCTACGGGGATGGGGGTGCACGTTGGCTGGGCTGTCTAGCCAGAGGGCCACCATGGAGTCAATCTCATCATGAGTTACTTATTYAGTTGCTCCTATCTCTGAACTGACCAATTCTGAAAGCCTTTCAAGTATTAGGAAGTATCGCTTTTATGACCCCATCCTTCCTCTTCCTTCTGAATCCACCCTCACCCCAGAACCCCCTGTGCTTTCTTTTCCCTTCTGATTAGCAGTCAAGTGTTTCAAACTCGATGAGAAAATGCTAATCTGTGCCATGGAGGAGTCAAACAGGAAGAAGGCCTCAGTGTCTAGGAAGGGCAGAGGCTGGGCTAGATGTCCCCCCTGCTGGGCTGCTCATCTCAGTGGCACTCAGCTATACGGCTGCCGTCATGGGGTTCTTCTGCCTGGGATCCTGGGTTCGGTAGGGGTACTGGTCGGGGCTTCCACCTCTCGGGCCCGCTCTGCCCATTTCTTGGTAGGCTGGCACTCTTGGGTGCTGAGGAGGGGATGGTGGAACATCTTGCCGGAAGGGTCCTTTGTGCTGGGGGGCAGGCGGGGGTGCGTAATAGTGAGGGTAGCGGAGATCTGCCACCCTCAGATCGGTGGGGCGTGAATAGCTCCCCTTGGGAGGATGCCCRGGATGAAGCCCTGGGTAGTAGGGAAGATCCCTTTCTTTGTAGAGCCCTCGGGGTGCTGCTGTCAGATAATCGGCAGGGTCTGCTGGACCTCCCCTGGAAAGAGAAGAAGAGATGCACATTAGCGGCTGCCAAGGCGGCTCCCCAGCTGAAGACCAYATCCCGCAGTCTCCTGGACATTTTGCTGTAGCCAGGGACTCGGCCTGACCAATGGGATGTGAGCAGGAGTGACAGCTCACTGAAAAACAAGAGTGGGAAACTTCCCTTCTTTTCTTCTTGGCTGTTGGAGCAGCCATTTTAGACCTTAAGGCGATAACCAGGTGCTGAGGAAGACAGAGAAACAAGAGGCGAAGCCCGAGTCCTCAACACAGCAGGGCCACCCTGTCAGCCAGGTCCTTTTACACCTGAACAGGTACTTGTGAGAGAAACACCATTCTGTCTGGTTTATACTCTCTTGTGTTGGCCTTTCTCACAGTAACTGAACTAGTGTCCTAAAGGAGGCAGTGAGCTTGGCTCGCTTAAGCCTGGGACCATTAGATCCTTCTGGTTTTTGCATGGAAGAAGCCTGTCTCTCCTATCAAGTGAAATAAGCCAATCCCCCCAAACCAAAGGCCAAATGTTCTCTCTGATGTGTAGATGCTAACACAATAAGGGGGGAGGGGGATAGACAAAGGGGAGTGGATTAGACAAAGGGGAATGAAGGGAAGGGAGGGCAGATGAGAATAGGAAAGACAGTAGAATGAATCAGACATACTTTCTTATGTTTATAAATGAATAAATGATCTGTGTAACTCCACAGTTCAACCACAGAATGGAATCCAAATTAGAATAAGTTTTACTCCATGTATGTATAATATATCAAAATACACCTACTGTCATGTATATCTGAAAAGGAAGAAATAATAATAATAATAACAACAACAACAACAACAACAACAACAACAACCTGTCTCAGAAATGGTAGCAGAAACATACAGGTGACTTGGAGTTACAAAGTCCCCATGAACTGCGCCTGCTTTCCTTCTAGATCTGGGAGGTGCTCTTTCAATGGGCTGTGGTCCTGGCCTATCTCTGGTGGCTGCTGTCACAGCCCTGGGTGGATTAGCATGCCCTCCCCTCTACAGTCCCTAGGAAAAGTCCCGACCAGGGCTGAGAAATGCCCACTCAGAACTCTGATAAAAAATAATTAATTCCACTACAAAGTCAAGAAGTTCCACCCAACCAGTAGTAGGGTGGAAAAATTGAAACCAGCTGTAAGCCACCCTGTGTAATGGGCAGGCACACAGAGGTCCAGGGCAAGAATAAACACTAACAGGAAGCGGCCCTGTCTGGATCTGTCTATTGAAGACAAGAAGCATCTTCTGATCCGATCGCTACAACCGAAGCGATGTGTCTCTAGACAATGTGCAGATGACGGCATCTTGTCTAGCCTGGGGATAAAGGCATGACTTCTGTTTGCAGCTCTGAAAGTCCCATAAACGGGGCTCATATTCACCACCATTCACCTTCCACTTTTACTACTCCCCCTTTTATGATTTTTTCAAAAAAGAAAACCAGCAACAATATTAATTAATGAAAAGCTCTCCAATGTCAGAGTACAGACTTGAAAGAAATGACTTGAAAGAAAGTGAGTGCACCGTGCCTGTGGTTAATCAGGCACTGTCAATGAGGGTCAAAATCACCCTGTAATCTGCAGAGCTGCTAAAACAGCCCGTCCTTCCTCAAATCAATGAAGATTTGACAAGCTCTGAGCATGGGCACATGTGGAAAGCAGCCCATGGACACGTCGGTAAGGCTGAACAATAGTCTTTCCCTTCTACTTTTTTTTTGTGTCTTAATTTGGCTATGTATAATGATGAAAGATAGATGCTTGAGCTTTGGGGTAATTTAGTTAGTGAGAGTTTTCAGATAAAAAAATTAAACTGTTTATGTACAAGTTATTATAGCATCAGCTGCTATTATTCAGTGCAGTTTGCTTTGCTCTATTTTAAATTGCCCATGACAAATAGACCACAGATGCATCATCTGTCACTCCAGTCCTGGGAAATAAAGGAGCTAGGCTTCACCTTTCCTTTCCTTGAGAATTTTATTTTTGGTTTAGAAAATTTCCAGCACTCACTATATCTTTTATCATAAGGATTGTTAAAGCTCCTGCCACCCCTGCGCATTTCTATTTCCTTTTGGCTCAAGTTGGAGATTTTGGAAACACTTGAAAAAAAAAAAATCCGTAACCTGTGCTTTCTCTCAAAATCTACTGAAGGTATTGCTCTACATGAAGTGAAACATGTGGATTTTCTGCACTTATTTTAAGCCCTTAGGATAAATCACTGACATTTGCAACACACAAACATTATCTGCCTTCAAATGAACATACAACCCAAACTCCCTCCGGACTCTCTTAGCATGAATGTTTCCTGTTTAAAATGGGAAGAGTGAAAGGAAGAATTCCAGGCCTTGGACTTTTAGGGTCCTGTTCTCTCCCTAGAGATTTTTTCTCTTTTAAAACACACCATTACAAAAGGCAGGCATGCTTTTTTAAAAATTTTTGAAGAGACAATCCAGACCAACTGGTGACGGGGCAGAAGCCACCCTGAACAACTCCACAGTGGCACAGACAGCATGCACGAGGGGATGGTTGCTATCTCATCTCCCACACCTCGCCCCTCCAACTCTCCCTGCGAGGACAAGGGAGGCTTCCCATGCACAGAGAGGGCGACCTCCAGATAGTTCTGTGGTCCCAGGTGGCTTCCTCTGAGGGAAGACTGTGTGTCTGAGAGCTGATTCCATGTGGCAGAAACCAAGGGAGAGAGCTGGGCTCTGTCAAGAARCGAAACCCTGGAGATTGTCCTTTTCTGTAGAACTCATTAGAGCAGTTATCATTTTTATTTTTTTCAGATAAAAGAAAAACAATGAGTTGGTCTATAAAAGCACTGTTTAAGGTTCAAAGAGTGTTAGAAGAATTTTTTTTTCCCTTGGGGTATGTGTGTGCTGTGCTTGTTCATGGTAACTTTTTTTTTTTTTTTTTTGCTAAAAAATGAGCATTTCCTATAGACTTCTGATAGAATGTGGAGGTTCTGGTGTATATTATCGTGTGTGTGTGTTCACGTGCATACACACATATCACACTTGAAGGAATTTTTAAGTTTCAGAAAATTCTAAACCTTTTATTATACATGTTAATTCATTAATTGTACAAATTAATGGGTGTGATTGGGACATTTCCATACAAGCTTATATCATATTTCAATTATGTCTACCATCCCTACTGCTCTCTCTCATCCCCTACCTCAACCTGTCTCCACCACTTTTAATTCCTCTTTTACTTTCAGGTCATTTCAATTTTTTTAAAAAGTCTCCACATATGAGAGAAAATATGCAATCCTTATTTTTCTGTGCTTGGCTTATTTTGCTTAACATAATCACTTCCAGTTCTATCCATTTTCCTGCAAATGACATGCTTTCATTCTTCTTTCTGGCTAAATAATATTCCATTGTGTACATATGCTGCATTTTAAAAGAACAAATTTTAAACAGGAAAAAGAAACCCTCCTTATTAACTACAGAACTTGGTAAAGGAAGAAGAAGGAGCTGAAGTTTTTTGCTTTGTTAATCTAAAGTTTCCCTTTTCACAGTCTCTTTTCCTGTGTAAAATGTAATGTTTGCAGGAAAGCACAGGGTCAATCCACTCCATGTCCCAGGCAGTGCTGACCCAGGGGCTGATGCTTTGTGCTGTGGACCCACCTTAGAAACCTAGGGCAGAATTCTCAGGAGACTAGGATTAAAAGTGGACCCAAGTAGCTAATGTGTCAGTACTTGAAGACCCCTCATTTTTCACATGACCTGTTGAACCTTATTTGTATGTGTTATTTTTCTTAAAAAAAAGTTCCAATTTAAAATCTCAAACAGAAAACATATTTACTTTAAGGAAAGAGAAACAAATCCATATCTTTCCCCCCCAACTGTTTAAAGGAACTATCATGAAAATACTTATCTTTCAAATTTTTTGGCTTCTTTTTATTTTTAAATAGGCTCATTTGTGGGACCCAGAGGATTTAGATTTTGCTTGGAAAACTCATAGAAATTATCTCAGGCCTGTCCTTAATCACATTGAGGCATGTGATAATGAATGTTAACCCTAACCAAGCCCAAATGTAAAAAACTATGTCTTATTCACATGGAAAGCAATAATAAAGATTGTTGTCTTTACGCGTGGTTTTCCTGATTTTGCCATTGTACTATGCTATTTTTTTCACTGAGTGAAAAAAGAAGCTGGAATCAGGGTCTAAACTGGCTAGACAGCAGCCCTGGTCCTGAAGATCACCTAATTTCATGAAAGGCTGGAAGCCCCTGCATTGGCTAATAGGATCCCTTTTGGAGAAAGGGCCTGGTGTTGGATGGCAGAGTCGCTGGCAAACTTTTTGGTAGGAGTGAGCTGACTCCTCTCACGGGAGTAGAGGGAGGGACGTGGATGATGTTGAATCCTCCCATCTCTACACCATCCGCCCCGTCAATTGCAAAGAAAGCTTTTCCCTCAGCTCTCACCCACGTGGTCATTCTCACCTGCCTTTCACCTGCCTGCAATTCCCACACTGGAGCCTGGGCATCTGGAAGGCAGGCCCCAGATCTCAGGAGTCTAGATCTCCTTGGAGCTCAGCACAGGGCTTTGTAGTAGTAGATGCAGCATGGATATATGTTGGATTCGTTTAAGAGAAAATCCACAAACATACAAGAGGCTTAGATGAGGGACAGAGGTGGGAAGAGACCCAACAGAAGACTCGTTAGGAGCCAGAGACTGATGATGGTCGAAGTTAGACTGATTTCTGAGTACAGAGGAAAGAAGGGTAGGGGGAAATAGTGGCCCAAATAAAGGCTGGCTTGGGTCCAATATTAAAAGACTATAAACTTTATTAGAGTAGAGGTTATTTATCTCATTCACCAGGAATAAAATTATATTGTTTTGTCTCTGTTGTCTTGAAACATAGTATGTGCTCAATAAATCTTGGACTGGAATTTAATTATCTTGACTTACCAGTGAGGTCAGCGTGACTAACGGGTGCACAGAAAATTGAAATTCCACATCATGCACAACCACAAGG